AGTAACTGTTGTAATGCATAGTGTTATCTTTCAACCAGTCATTCATATTACCAGATATATGCATACAAAATTGGAAGAAAGAACAAAAGAAAGAAATTAAGAGAAAAAGGAAAAACAATTGAGAAAAGAGGACAAAACAAATTAACCATTATCTGCTCAAGCAGGATGGTTTGGACAACTGTATTGTGGGTTTCTGCTGGTCTATGAAAAGCAGCGGATAATGCTTTATTTTAATTTTTTCAGACAGGGTCTTACTATGCAGTTCAGGCTGGCCTTGGGCTCACGTTAGCCCAGACTGGTCTCAAACTTGCAATGATCCCCTCCTGGCTCAGCCTCCCAAGTGCTAGGATTATAGGCATGTGCCATCACGCCTGGCCTGAAGTATCCTCATTTGATGTGTATGAAAATGAAAGGTTCGGATCAAATAACTAATATGTCTGTAAATCAAATGTTCAAAACACCTCAAGTTACCATGAAAGTCCACTTACTAATGGTTACTTAACTGAGCTAGATCACCCTTAAAAAATACTAGTCTATACACATATGAAATGTTTCATTTAGTGCCTCTTTTGTATACTTTGAAAAATTCTTCCTGGCAATAATATTCTTTTTGTTACAGCTATGTGACTCAATCACAGACTTCAGGTAGAAAATGATACTTTAATTAACTTTTGTTGATGATAAACAATAAGATGAAGATAAGACACTGTCAAAAATAAGTTTAACTTGGAAAAAAAAAATTATTACCTGCATATCTAGGTCTTAGGGTATATCTCAAAAATGGTATCCTAAAATTTAAAAGGCCTTCAGGTACCATGCAAGTACAAATATGTATTTTATGTTAATAGTCAATATCTGATTTTTAATGGGGAAGAGGATGTAGAATAGTAGCAGTGTAATTTCATGCCACATCCCCCAAGTGATGCTCAAGATTGAAGCTAGGGCCTCACACGTGTTAGGCACTGGGCAGCCACCGTTCCTCTGGGTGATATCACCAGCCCTTGCATGGCTTTAAAAAAAAATGACAGAAAATTAAACAGTTGGGGCTGGGGAGATGGCTCAGTGGAATAAGCACTTCCCTGGCAAGTGCAAGAGCCTGAGTTCAATCCCTGGTTCCACAAAAAAAAAAAAAAAGAAAATCAAACAGTTCATCAAAAATAAAATTGCACTTTTGTAATAAGTGTTTTATGCAATGAATCTTGTGAATTGTAAATTAGCTTTTTATAACATAAAATAATAAGAAGCCAGACTGTTTATTATGGTTACTAAAAAATGGAAATGATTAACAGGCACTTTAATTTTGGTGAATGATAATTAAATTTCTCTGATAAGTTATTCTGCAGTAACGCACTTTTTCCTGAGTTGTGAAGACAATATTTAAGACCATCGAGCTTAAAAAACATGACAATATTATGATTTTTGTTGCAATATTTAGTCTTTACCACAGTGAATTTACATTGTTAAAGATAAAAGTCCCTAACTACTAGGTATCCATGTTGACATATTTGGTGTTGCTGATTTAAAGGAAAATTTCCATTTAATATTTTTGTGAAGTTACTGTTTAACCATGAAGGAGAATTATGCTCTGAAATTATGATTACCTTTCACAATCAACTTAAGAATTATAAAAACAATCTTATTTTATTCACATTTTATATTTGTAAGACTTTTAAGATTTCAGTTATTGCTCAACACAAATTTGGAAGATAATTCAGCCTCGCCTCATTCTCTTGTGAGAAACAAGAACAGAAAAGGCCAATCAATTTAGTGATGGCTTCATGGATTTCACATCTGCTGTCGCTACTGAATATATCTGTACTGTATTTCCATCTCCAATACAAGTACAAGTGTTTTTTATGGAGCTGAGACTGAATGTAGGGCCTCACGGACGTTAGGCAAGCACTGCAATCCTGAGCTACACCTCCAGATGTTGTGCTCTAAGTGTTAAGGCCTCTAGTACCCGATGTTTTTTCAGTTTTATCAGGCAGGTCGTTTATTCATATTTGAGGAAGAGTTTTAAAATTTAATTTTAATTATGATAAGAACATCCAGAATAATCATACTCTCATTAACAAGACAATTTTTCTACATTTATAAAAACTTCGGAATTGAAAGAACATGCTATAGTTCGAAAATTATAAATGTGTATTACAGATGTAAAATTTTATTACCAGTCGAAGACTAAATGCATAATCTTCTAAAGAAATTTTTAAATCCAATGACAGACTTTTAAATAAAGTCAGGAACAGGACACTGCTTACAGGAGGATATAACAAATTTATACAAAGACTTAAATTTCTTAGTGTTGTCAACTGAAGTGGTTTTTATTTTTCTGCTAAATTG